CTTCACGATCCAAACCTTAAGTAAAAGAGTATTAGGCGCTTGACAATGAATGTTAGATGTAATATGCAGGAAACACAAGTGAATAAAAACTTATAGGTACATGTTTGTAGTCAGTAACAACGATGCAGACAATGTTGTCATTCTTGCTATGCCGTTTCCAAGAGATGTCAAAAGTTACAAATGCATAAAGGTAGAACCTATTGAACCTGCTGGGCACCTTCAGAGCATCCACACAAAAAAATGCACGAGATTAACATTTTGTTCAGTAATCCTGAAGTACTTGGTAAGACTGATATGATATTTCTTGGTTTCCATAGCCTAAAGGGTCTAAGAAGTTGCTCCACTCATTTCAAGTCTTCATAAACTGTTCTTCATAACTCTACTTTTGAACAAACTGTAGCAAGTGGTATAATTCACCTATAGTGAATCTTCATATTTAATAATTTTTTTTTCAAAATATAATTTCTGCATATATCATATATGGTCGGCTCCCTTACTCTATCATTTGCTTCTCCATATCTATAAGCATTTGAATGTATTCAGATAGCAGCAACACCTGCTGAATACTACCACCAAATGCAAGACAATCATCTACGTTCATGATGAATCCTTCTTCAACGTCCATGTTCATTAGCAGATGATACTGCATGGATTCCACGAACACAGATATGGTTATTTAAGAGCAACCAAAATCTTGGCAGAGATGAGGAACACATTAGCGCTAATTGTTGTTCTGTGTATCAACTCTTCTAAGGATGGGTCAAGAGAACATGAAAATTTGTGGGTTGCTTTTGTAAGATAATCTTCCTGAGTTTATCCTTTTCACATGATATTTATTAGATTTGTTATCTTTGTCTATTAGATGAAGTAAATAAAATTTATGTTCTTCTATCCGACAGAAATCTGATATTTCACATGGCAACCAGTTACGCTGCTTCCTTAGCTCAGATGACTAGGATGGAGTATTTGTTCCTGAACCTTATATGACTGAACTTTGAGGTACTTTCATAGGATAGCTGGTTATTAACATCTTTCTCCTTGATGTAAGTAATTATTTACATGTGTTGAATTGAGTAGCTGGAGGAATTCATCCAAGATCTAACGTCTAAACATATTATTTCTCACATGGAGCAAAAATTTGTCTTCTCAATCACCAAGTGCAAGACAATCAACTACATTCATGATGAATCCTTTTCCAACATCCAGGTTCATTAGGAGATGATACTGTAGGGACTCCACGGACACACAGAGGTGTAAAGAAAAATTCGTAAATTTCTCTATTCAAGGTTTATTCTCTTCAACTCTTGGAATGAGGTGACTACTTTTCAAATGTAAGAGAAGTTTAGGTGGTCACAATCCGCCATTTCAGATTGTCATTCTAAATTTTGCATTGAGCAGTTACAATTAACTTTTCCAAAAGCCCTAAAAGGTTAAGGACCTCGTGTTGTGGCAAGTGGTATTAAGTTAATAATATTGGAGCTTAAATCATGTGATTTTTTTATCATATTGTAAAACATTCCCTCAATATTGTTTTTCAATTCCTTGAGCGGCGATGATGACGAAACATTAAAATAATTGCAGGCATTGCGGCGTAGCTCTCAAAACATGTGATATATTGCATTAACATATATATTATTCTGCTTTTAATAACTAACAATCAAAGATCGATTCCCTCCATGCTTGATGCTTTGATACCAGGTCAAAAGAGTATTTTGTTCTTTGTATTTAAAAGGAACTTTGTTAATGTGTACCAAATATTGTGTAGAATCTATTGCCTTTCTTACAAAGTTAATATATATATATGTCTTAGAATCTGAAAATGGCCGATAATGAAAAGTTTCATTATCTTCCTTAATAGCTTCTTTATAAAGGATATGTGTGTTTTCTCATGACTTCAATATATGAATATCCAATGCATTTATATGTTCAACAACTAATAGTATTTGAATGCTTATTTGTTTCTACCATATTTTTCAAGTAATATTTTCTTATAAAAAATTATATTTAATATTTTTCGCGCAACGCGCGGGTACGGATACTAGTAATAAAATAAAGTAAAGTACGCAAAACGAAGTTATTTGGGGAAGCAACCGTATAATGTAAAAAAGAAGTTAAATTCATTTCTTCCGCCATAAACAATCAACAGAAACAACTAATTTCTTAACCAACAGAAGGCAACCATTCTTAGCTTGAATCTCGCTTTTCTCTCATTTTTCCTCTTCAGTCCACACCCACCATTTTTAAAACTCCTCTTAATTAATTCATCCCTCTCTTTTTCTTTACTGTAGAGAAGATTAAGATATAAATTCTTTTTTTTTTGCTCGCAAAAAGCAGCGATTAATTAATGCGAACAAAAATTTGAAGAAATTAATTGATGGCTGCTGCTGTTAAGCGAGTGATTCCATTAGGTGTTAATTATGGAATTAGTTTATCCAAATTACGAGGGAATTATAATGTGTCGAATGTTACTGCAGCTTCCTTACTTGTAAATAGATCCCAATATTGGGCCGAGGGTTATAATGTCAAATGTTACGGTTCGCTATCGTCGAAATGTTCTGCTCATAGCAAGTTTGATTGTAGGCAGATGTCGCAGCTGGTTAAAGCTAATGGCAAGCGTGCATTTCTCGTTGATACCTTAGCTCTGGTAATTTTCTCATTTTGTTTCTCCGTTGTCTATTTTTGTTTTTATTTTATTTTCATCTTCATTTTTCATATTGCAATTTGACCTTCCGAAGGGAAACTCATACTATATAATTGTTGTTTATAGTGCATTCTACCATATATATTACTTCTATTTTTATTTTGTAAAGTATGAATATTATTGGTTTGAGATGAGCTTAAATAGAGCCACATTGTCGATGACCGGAGGCGGAGCCAGTATTTGAAGTTTAAGGGTTCTAAAATTATCATCGAACCCATAGCTTACACATATAAAGTAAATTTCTTAATAAAAATATAGGGTAGCAGCAAAAGCTACTGTGTTCGTTCGAACATGTATCTACTTCTCTAGCTCCGCCTCTGGCGAGGTTTCGTATAGCTGACTGCAATTCTTATTTGGATTGAGCCTTATTAGTAGTAGTTGTTGCTATATTTAGGAAGTTGGTGCGATTGACAGGTTAAGAGTTTAGAAGCACAAGGCGTACCTTCAAAGCAGGCAGAGGCAATAACATCTGCTATAACTGAGGTTTTGAACGACAGCTTGGAAAATGTTGCTCATTCTTTTGTTTCACTAGCTGAAATGCAGAAAGTAAGAGATATTCCACAGATGATATCTTTTTGTTGTCTATAACAATGTGCCATTATTATAACAAATGAAAATGTTATTTTGTGTGTTTGTCTCTGTAGTCTGACTTGGTTCAAGAAGCCAATCTTTCCAAGTTCAAATCCCAAATACAAAGTTCTCAGGTAAATATATTCTAGTATTGAATTTTCAGAAGGTTTCATCCCTTGATGTTTTGCTGTTTCTATAATAATTAAGATAGCTGCTCATTAACCGAAGGATCTAAAAAAGAATGAAAAAGGTTAGCTCCTAATTTCAGGTTCTGCAAAGTGCCATGGCTGGTTCATTTCTTAGTCCAGATATTGATTCATAAAAATTCTTCACTTTTACTGTTGAAATTTTTAACCTAAGTGAACTATCTACACCTACAGCACGGAATTTTTGCAATGTTCTTTCAGTTGGAGCGGAAGAGGGAGTCTTCCAATTTAGATTTTAAACTGTATTTTCAAAATACTGTCACTGTAGTTTCAGATACCCTTTCCTTAATTTGCTCGGAAAAGCTTATCCCTCTTATTCAAGAGTTCATTTAACGAGTTTCATACACTTATTTTGATCCAAAAGTCCATAAGTATCTGAAAACTGAATATAACTAAAAATACGCAAGTATCAATCATTTGGTGATTCTTCAGATAGGTTCTAATAATATATCCAAGTTCAGAAACGTTATTTCACTGGGAAGCTATTGCTTGGCTCAAATTGCATATCCCTTAATCAAGGGGAGCCACATCCACAATGTTATGAATGGATCAAAGGAAAAACCAAAAGAATCAAGTTAAACTTGCTAATAGGAAGAATGATGGACTATATGACATTCTGATCTAAGGAATGCGAGTTAAATTTAGAACACCGTGCAGCCAAATCTTTATCTCTAGGATTTAGCAACAGTCACTTGTTAACTGGAAGAATCTTTAAGGAGCAATCCATATATGTAATTCAGGCTATTTATTAAATCTTCTACTCAGAGCAATTCTAAAGTATGTTATCTTATTGATGGTATATATGGAAGTGTTGGCTTGAAATGAAGTTTGGCCTTGTCCATGTGGCTGAATTGTTCAGTAGATTTCTGTAGCTAGTTAGTGATGTCTTAGCTTCTGATAATTTTGCGTAAAGGTGATGAAAGCGATTTTTGAACTTTAAATGTTGGACTGATGATTACTGCATTACTTTCACGTGCTTAATTTAATGTTTGTAAACTTGCAAGAACTGATTGAGTTTGATACCTGAAGTTCTCCCATTGCAGGAAAATCATTTTTCTCTACTGCAACATGAAACTGAAAAGCTTCGGAATGACATTGAAAAAGTGCGTAGCGAATTGAGGTACATCTGAATTGTGGGAAATTTGATTTTTACCTTCATTTGCCAGCTTTGTGAACCACTTATTTGCTGATATAGGTATGAGATTGATAAGCTTACTGCTGGTCAACGTTTGGATTTAAATCTCGAAAGAGGGTAAGACTTTGACAATTCCTAGCTAATGAGGAGGCTTTTTAACATTTTTCAACTTCATAATAAATCAATGAATAGACGTGGCTTAATCTAAGTTGCAACTGGTTGCAGAAGCATACGCGATGAGCTTGCCAAGCAGAATGCAGAAACCACCAACCTTACTAACAAGCTAGATCGAGTAAGTGTTTGTTCTTGCTTACAGTAATAAAAGGTAGTACTAATATGCACGGACAGTGTAAAAGAGATAACTATAGGTAAATGCATATAATAAGTAATCTAGTTACCCGAAAACTATGACAGATGACTTGTTTCAACATGTTAAATTGCACTGGAAGTGTAGAAAACTTTTAGACTGTTGGTGTGTATATAAAGTTAAAGTCAATAAAATTTTAGTGTAGTAACGGGCAACTTTATCGAACTCACTATGTTTTGTGAATACCTTCTTCTGTGTGGTCCATGAATAGGAAATCCATGCCCTGAGGGCTCAACTTGAAGCTGGAAAATATGAAGTCATCAAATATTGTATAGGTACACTTGTGTCCATCTCAGCTGTTGGCCTTGCTGTGCTTCGTTTATATGCTTAAACAGAGGTTCCAGAAGACATCTACTGCCTCAAAAAGGGAAGAAATACAGCTCTCGTTATTTTTTGGGAGCTTCAGTAGATGTCATCCCAATTGTTGAATCAATTGTAATACTAGTAGAAAGGTCAACAACTTTGTACAAATGAATATTCTTATTGAATTTGTTGTATCTTAATAGGAATAGGTTTTTTTTCTTTTTTTTCTTTTGAAGAGACATTATATTGGGGAAAAAAAAATTTCTCCGTGACAGAGAACTTACTCCAACCTTTTTACTGGACAATACATAATCTCGACAACCCTGTCTCTCAAGATTTGGATCTAGGATTTGAAGTCTATTAATACAAATAAATGTTTGAACTT